GATAAGGCCCAGGCTTGTATATATAACTGTAAGTTTCCTACACATCCAATAAGAAAGAATTACAGTCAAATTCATAGCTTTTATCATGGTATCAAAGCTACTCGTTTTTGGGTATTAATCTTCTTGTTGAGCCATTTTTTTAGTTCTTATTATTTCTTAAGAGAGTATGGCACTTGATCAGCAAAATATAGGCGATACAGATGATTACATCAGTACAGAAACTGCTCAAGGAGGCACAATGGGTGAGGGAAGTCACTCTAATTCGATAAGTGACTTACAAAACATACAAGCAGCCTATAGATTGAATGGAAAAAACTACCTTAAGTGGTCACAATTGGTTCGGACTTTCCTAAAAGGGAGAGGTAAACTTATTCATCTCCTTAGAACGGGTCCCAAGGAAAGAGATCCCAGATTTGAGGCCTGGGATAAACAAAACTCATTGGTTATGTCTTGGTTGTGGAATTCAATGGTGCCTGAAATTAGTGACACCTGAACGTTTCTTGGAATAACCCATGAGATATGAATGGCTGTAAAAAAACCTATTCGAAGGTTCAAGATGCTGCCCAGATTTATGAAATCAAGAGCAAGATTTTCAACCACTAAACAAGGAAGCAAATCAATTACAAAGTATTCTAATATGCTGCAGAATCTGTTGCAGGAAATGGACCACTATCAATGCATTAAGATAAAATGCAGTGAGGATGCAACAATTCTAAAGAGGTTTGTAGAAAAATATAGGATTTATGATTTTCTTGTTGGACTAAATATAAAATTTGATGCAGTAATGGTCCAGATTCTAGGAAAAGAAGACCTGCCCTCACTGAATGAAACTATTGCTATCATTCGTGCTGAAGAAGGAAGAAGATGAGTGATGGTGGTTGAAAACAATCAAGTAGAAAGTTTAGCCTCGATTATTAGGGTTGTTCCTGAGGGACCAAATCGTCTAGAGTAGCAGAATATTGAACGCAAATCAGAAGGAAGAAGGATGGTTAACAAGGACTCCTTACGATGTACTTACTGCAAAAAAACCTCGCCACACACAAGAGATGCGTTAGAAGTTACATGGAAAGCCTCATACTGCAAATAAGAACTTCACAGAGAAAGGAGGTTTAGCAAGAGGACAAAGCAGAGCTTATGCAACTAAACATGTGGCTAAGGAGTCTGATGAACAATCTGTTGAATTCAACCGGGAAGAAGTAGAAAAATTGAAGAACCTACTGGAATCCTTAGAAAAACCAACCTCTACAGGTACATGCAATCTAGTTTTCTCATGTATCTTCTTCCTCTTCTCAGAATTCTTATGCTTTAGAATCATCCACCCACATACCTACCCAAAACTCCTGGGTAATTGACTTAGGAGCCACTGATCACATGACTAATTCATCACTAAAATGCCTCACCTACATAACCTACCCTAGCAACAAGAAAATCACAGTTGCATATGGTACTATGGTAACGGTTGCTGGTTAAGGAGATATTGACATCAGTAAAACTCTATTGCTTAAAAATGTCCTACATGTGCCAAAACTATTTACTAGTCTTATTTCTATTCCAAAGCTTATCAAAGACAATAACTGCAGTGTTTTATTTCATCCTACACAATGTATTTTTCAGGAGCAAGAAACGAAGAGAATGATTGAGCGTGCTAGGGAAATAAATGGCCCATACTACCTTGAAGACCTTAGTGGACCAACTAGAGTTTTGAATACTCGACCATTTTCTTTTTTATCTGAATCTACAACCAATAAAGACCAAATCTGGCTACATCACTTTCGCCTTGGTCACCCACCTTTTAGACTCTTAAAACCTATATTTCCCTCCTTGGGTAATTCCTTAAATGTTGAAGAATTTTATTGTGAAGTTTGTGAATTTGCAAAGCATAAATGTTCCTCTTTTCCAGCAAGTAATAAACGGACCAACAATCCCTTTACCCTTATTCACAGTGATGTTTGGGGGCCTTCCATTATTCCTAACATAACTGGGGCTAGATGGTTTGTGTCTTTTATAGACGATTGTACTCGGGTTACTTAGATTTATCTACTAAAATAGAAGTTTGATGTTACATCTACTTTTAAAACCTTTTACAACATGATCAAGACTCAGTTTGGGGCTGAAATAAAATGAATAAAATCAGACAATGCCAAAGACTACTTTAATCAAGTTATGTCTCTTTATTTCTTAGAAAGGGATATTATACATGAGTCCTCTTGTGTAAATACTCCCCAACAGAATGGGGTAGCAGAAAGGAAGAATGGACATCTTCTTGCCATAACTAGAGCACTTTTATTTCAAAACAATGTCCCTAAAAGGTACTGGGGGAAGATGTGTTAACTGTCACTTACATGATAAACAGACTACCCACTAAAGTCCTTGAATTCCAAAGTCCCCTTCAAACCCTTACAAAGTTCTTTCCAAATTTCAGCCCATCTCTTAACCTAAAACCAAGGGCATTTGGGTGTGTTGCTTTCGTTCACATTCATTCTTAAGGTCGAGGGAAACTTGATCTAAGGGCATTGAAATACATTTTTATTGGGTATTCCTCCACTCAAAAGGGCTACAAGTGCTACCACCCACATAAAAATTACTACACTACTGCTTATGTCACTTTTGTGGAAAAAAGAGTTATTTTTCAGTTCCTTATCTTCAGGTGAAATATCATTTAGGGAAGATAAGGATGCATATTTGTTTTTACTTCAGCCCCTTGTTGATCTTCCTACACCTACACCTATACCTATACATTCTACATAAACACAACCTAATTCTACTCCATCCTCTCCCCAATCAGAAATTTAATACTTCTCAAACTTCTACTCCTCAACCAAACATTAATACACCACAACCCAATATTCAAGACACTACTTGTCCTTTAAGGGTCTATTCGAGGAAGAAGGCACCTATGTAGATTCAATCATCCCCTTCTCCTGCTCCTATACAATTTGAGGTACACTCTGAAACTCCTTCTGAACAAAGTGATGCTGAAACTACTATATTTGCTTCTGATTTTGAATTTCTCATTGCTATTAGAAAAGGAAAAAGAACATGCACCACCAAACATCCTACCTATCTGTTTATGACCTACAAAAACCTATCCCCCAATCACAGAACCTTCTTTATTAGCCTAAATGACATTGCTATTCCTAAAACAATATTTGAGGCATTAGAAAATGAGAACTGGAAAGAGGCTATGAAAAAGGAAATGGAGGTGTTGGAGAAGAATAAGACATGGGATTTAGTGAAGCTGCCAGAAGGGAAAAAATAGTGGGATGCATATGGGTATTTACTATCAAGTATAATTCAGATGGTTCTCTAGAAAGGTACAAAGCAAGATTGGTGGCAAAAGGGTACTCTCAAACCTATGGAATTAACTATCTTGAAACTTTAGCCACTGTTGCAAAGATGAACACAGTAAGGGTCCTATTGTCCTTAGCAGCTATTCAGGGATTGAATTTGCAGTAGTTTGACATCAAGAATGCCTTCTTGCATAGGGACCTTGAAGAAGAAATTTACATGGATATTCCACCCGAATTTGGTTCGAGTCTTGGATAGGCAGTGTGTAAATTGAGAAAAACTCTTTATGGACTAAAACAATCCCCAAGAGCTTGGTTTGGGAGATTTACTAAAGTAATAATAAAACAAGGTTTTAAACAAAGTCAAGATGATCATACTCTGTTTGTGAAATACTCTCCTTCAGGGGGAATAATTGTACTGTTGGTGTATGTGGATGATATAATTGTTACAGGTAATGATTCTGAAGGAATTGGAAATTTAAATGTCTTACAAAATAGTTTGAAGTGAAGGACCTTGGAAGATTAAAATACTTCCTTGGTATTGAGGTGACTCACTCACAGCAAGGGATTTTTATATCTCAGCAGAAGTATACTTTGGACATGTTGAAGGAAATTGGAAAACTAGGGTGTAAACCAGCAGAAACTCCTATAGAAGTCAATCACAAGCTTGGAGACTCCAAGGAGGAGGATATGGCAGTTGATAGAAGATTTTTTAGAGACTCGCGGGAAAGCTTGTCTATTTGTCACACACCAGACCAGACATCGCATATGTTGTTGGGGTTATGAGCCAATTCATGCACAATCCTAAGGAATCACACCTAAGGGTTGTAGTCCAAATTTTTAATATTTGAAGGGTTCACGAGGCAAAGGAATTATATTTAGAAGAGGGGGAACTTGACTCTGGAAGCATACACTGATGCAGATTATGCAGGATCCATAATTGATAAAAGGTCAACCTCAGGCTACTGCACTTTCTTTGGAGGAAACTTAGTTACTTGGAGAAGTAAAAAACAGAATATGGTGGCTAGATCAAGTGCAGAAGCTAAATTTCGAGCTATGGCATTGGGAATTTGTGAGTTATTATGGCTTAAGATTATTTTAGAAGACTTGAAGGTAAAGTGGAATGGACCAATGAAAATCTACTATGATAACAAGTCAGCAATCAACATTGCTCATAATCCAGTTCAACATGAGAACAAAACATGTTGAAGTGGATAGACATTTCATAAAAGAGAAACTTGACAGTGGCCTGATCTGTACTCCCTATGTGACCACTGGAGATCAAGTTGCAGATGTACTTAACAAGGGTCTACATGGTAAGTATTTTCAGAAGTTAATAGGCAAGTTGAGGATGGAAGATATCCAATGCTCCCAACTTGAGGGGGAGTGTCAAAGATTAGTTACCTAAGTCAAGGAGATTGAGTTGGATTTGTAAATATTCTATTTAGTTAGTATCCCTAAATCTGAGGGATTGTTTTTATTACTAGAATTAGTCTCTTACCTAGTTTAGAAGTTACCTAAGATAAGGCATGGGTTTGTATATATAATTGTAAGTTTCCTACGCATTCAATAAGAGCGAATTACAGTCAAATTCATGGCTTTTGTCAACATCAATTGTAACAACACCCAAAAGTGGCAAGGAAAATGAAAGGACATTATGGTGTAATATAGCACAATGCAAGGAACTGGTAGAATGTTAAGAAAATAACCAACCTTGCATTCGCGTGCAGGCAATGACGTCTTTCCTAGCTCTGAAAAGAAGGCTTCTTTCCTTCGTTTTCTTATCACTAGCAGGATGCATAAACTATAAAGTCAGAAAACTAGAACGAGGAAAGTAGCACACTTTTAAGGGTTATATAGATGCAAATAAAGTTCTCCAATAGTCTTTTACAAGTAGCATATGTTAAGTACCATGAAAATTAACGTTTACATGTGAAGAATCTACATCATGTCCAGCCTCTAAACCTAGGGTTTAAAGGCGTAAATAGTTTATGATAAATCGGTTTAATCTTTTCATTTGTACGACAAGATAGAAAATAAAACAGAAATACAGTTTCTAAAAGCACCAATACCCAAGAACCATTTGATCAGAACTTGCTGCACATATAGGAGAAAGACGCAATTTACTTCCATGAGTTTCTAGAAATATTGATTATACTTTAACCAACAAAAGCTTTTGAACGCGGTTCTACAACTTTTGAAAGGATAAAGTACATACAATCTCATCAGATAAAAGTGACAACATATACAAATGGCTTATGCGCATGCGCATGCATATAAAAAAAGGCTTTAGTGAATTATGATCAACAAATGCATGAGATGGTTCTTTGGTGATATACTGATATTAGTATACCAAGTCTTTTTCACCAATCTGGTCATAAAGATATTAGGCATAACTTTGAAAGTAGTTAAATCTTTGGATGAGTGGGAAGCCAAAAACAAGCATTTCAAGTTATTCAAAATGTAAAATGCCAAAAATAGGGCAACATAACCAGAGCAAGATTTGCTTTGTAGTCAAGATACTAAATGATGCATGATTACATATTTCACGAACTCAATGGAATTTGCTTTCAAATGTTCAATATAAAACTTGTAGCCATTGGGATATAAGCATACCTTTTGCATCTTTAGACTTTGAAGGGTCCAATCCTTTCTGAGCCTTTTGTGCTTTGTTCACCTGCAGGATACATGAAACAACAAAGATTACACAAGAGACTTGATAGAAATAACTAATGGTCTAACAGACGAAACAAGAAACTATGAACAATAGATCCGCCTTCGTTAAAAAAAACTTACAGCATTGAATAACTTCACCACTGAAACATCCAGAAACACATAAACAACAAACATAATTAGCATGAGAAGAAATAAGCAATGAATTAAGATTTTACATAACACTAGATGAAAATAAGGTCTAAAAATATATTACCTCCTTTCGTGGCAATACCAATTAGAAACTTTTCATGTGAATCCAAGTAATTCACAGGCTTCACATGTCCCTTGTCTGCAATCTGTAACATTAATAGTGCATAGGATGAATAAATTAGCATAGCAAAAGGAAGGTCATAGTAATATATTTTGCAAATTGTAAGGCAAGTACCAAATGTTTTTCTTTCTTAGCTTCTCCCTTAACTTTCCTTTCAGCTTCCTCTTCAGCTAACTTCTTTGCAATAAGTTGCTTATGCCCGGATAATACGGGACCCTATAACAACAACAAAAATCATTGAAAAAGAAACACAATTTCCCTTCTGAAATGAAAAAGACCCGAGTTTAGAAACCAGCTTTACCAAGGAATCATTAGCAACATTCTTCTTTATAATGTTCTTAAATGCCAACCTGAATGCCCTAACACCTTCGGTAAACTTCATAATCCCAGATTGAATGTCATCTCCTTCTTCTTCTTGTTCTCCTCCAGAATCATCACTTCCTTCAGAATCATCTCCACCACCGCCCCTCCGGGTATAATTAGGAACTGCCTCCGCCGCCGTGTTTTCCTTTTCCTCCTCCTCGTCTTCGTCATCAGAATTGTAGTCACGGGCTCGTTTTTCAAACAGATTTCTCATTTTTTTACTTACTCGGAACTTTTTTCCTTTACCCTCCAACATCTTAAGCTTCTTATTATTGGCTTTGTTACCTTTCCCTTTACCTGGATGTCTTTTCCTCTTCCCAGCTGCAACACTGCCTTCCTCCATTATCATCATCGGCTTCTTCCTTTCAACAGAAAAATACCCAAAGGACGAGAAGATTACAAAACCCCTTTTAAACCCTAATTATACACAGAAAACTTAGAACCAGAATACGGTCCATTGTTTTTCTTCCTTCTTTTCGGATTACTTCTTTAACTTCTCTGTTTGGGCCATTTTATTTTATTTTTGGTCTTAATTCTTTATTCAGTTTTCGTGGGCCTCAAAACTCTTAAGCCTTCTTTATTTGTACTCAAGAATAAGGATTTATTTATTTACTGAAAATAATTTTTGAAAAATAAATTATTTATTTTAAAAAATATTTTTTTAATTTTTTATTTAAACAAAATGTTGGCCCATTTTTGGAATGTTTTGTATAATTGTTAATACTTTTTACTAAATGCTACATTTTATTTATTTATTAACATAATTTTAAAAATATTTAAATAAAACACAAGAACCAAGATTTTAAAATTTAGTATGAAACTATGAATTGCTTTTTAACATATTAAATATATATATGATATTAAAATTAGTATCGATTAAATATTAATTTAATTCACGTCATTGTTATTCTAATAATTGATCGAAAATGCATTATGGAGTGTTGTTTTATTGAGTTCATCAATTATTAAAAGTTATAAAATAGTCACTCGACTATTCATTATATTCTAGACTCATCTTTTTTTGCTAAAAAATTGGTGGTTGTTTAAGTTAGACGTTAACATGATGAATGTGATATGATAGTCGTTTGAGATTTTGAGATATTTTTTTCATATCATAGTCAACAAGTTAACGTTCAACTCATAATATTGTCCGTTTTTAACAGAAAATGGCAAGTTTGAAACATAATGAATAGTCAAGTGAACATTTTGTAACTTTTAATAGTCGAGGGACTCTACTAAGCAACGTTATATAGAAAAAGAACATTTTGTAACTTTTAATAGTCAATGGACTTAATAAAGCAGTATCCTATAGTCGGGGGACCATTTGCGTTTTTTACCCTATAAATTAATATTATTAAATTTTGGTTTATACTTTTTAACAAAAATCATAAATATTTTTTTAGATAAAATGTATGTATTATATCCAAAAAAACAATGTATTATATCCAAAAGACAAGCAACAAATTGTTATTGTAACATCCCAAACATCGGGTTAGTGACCAAATTGTGAAATTTTAGAATTCAGAGATTAAACTAGATAAATGAAAAAGTTCAAGGACTTAATTGAAATATTTTGTGTAGGATTGTTTAGCAAATGAAGGAGGAATAAAGGGGTAAATGGGTCATTGAACAAGGGGAAATAATTAAAAATTTGTTATAGTCCTTTTAAACCCATGAGGAACATATTTGGGGAAACAAAGGTTTCCAGACATTTCTTCTTCACTCTTCTTCTCCAACCGTGAAGCCCCATAAGCTAAGGTGAGCTAGTTTTCCTTTGGTTAATTATTGAGATTAAGGTATTGCTTTGATTAAAGAAGCATTAGGAAAGAGTATGAAATCAAAAAGAGGTATAGAAACTCAAAGAATTATGAGATGTAGATGATTTAAAGTATGAAGTTTTTAAGTGAAAATTTGAATACGAAGATTTAAATGATTTTAGAAGCTGAATTTAACTTGTCATAGGTGTGAACAAGAAATAATAAGTGTTAGAACTAAGTTTGGATTACATGGAAAACTTAGTAAAATTCTTAGTTTCAAGAATTGGAATGAGATGTTTAAGTTTATAAGGTGTTAAGAAGATAAATGATAGTTAAAATGGTTGTAGTTGAGTTTGGGGGTATGAAAGGAGCTTTCAATATGGAAATTTAGTGAAGTGTTGATAATTTTTCGGGTGAAAGAAGCATGTTCTGGGTAAAGGGTATCGGTACCAGATGAATAGGTATCAATACTACACCGTTATTATAGGCTATTGTGTTGTGTAGGTATCGGTACTACACGAACAAGTATCGATACGATACGACCAATTCAGACACACATCTTCATAAGGTATCAATACCGAAGGGATAGTATCGATACCATAGGTATCGATACCAGAAGGCAGGTATCGATACCTGGAAACATCAAATCTAATTTGGGTACCGATACCCAAGTAGGGTATCGATACCATTCTAAATGAAGTATCGGTACTGTACATAGGAGCACCGATACTACTTAATAAGGAAATATGACTTTTGGTTATCAATAGTTTAAGTTATTAAGATTGAGTTATATGTTTAGGCTTTTGATAATTGTCTTGGAAATTATTTTTATGTAGATACTGAGCCTAAACGAGTTTCGGAACAATTGGAAAATAAGATCGATCAAGAGAAAGATAAAGAGATATAGGTGAGTGCATATGCATAGTATGATTATAATAGTATATTAAACTTTAGACTTGTGATAAGTCTAGTTCTAATACCACTAATATATGTTTGCATTCCATGACATGAATTCATATTATATGCATTATATGACAATGATCTAGATGAATATGCATGAGAAGTTTACATAAGTGATGTGATAAAAGGTAAGAAATAATAAATATATATATATATAAGATGTAAACTACATGAAAGGTAAAAGCCCGTGTTACGTAGATGGGAGTTATAGGTATAATTGGCATGCCAAGAGTCGAGGGTCTACGCGGTCATTCGGGATATATATGTATCCTTTGGAACATTTATGGGTCCTTTTAGACACATAATTGGTACTTGGAATATGTATATGATTCTTAAGGAATATCTATGTGGTTCTTATGGACATTTTATGCGGCACTTTGGTGCATTCCTATGAGACACTTCGGTGCAATTTTAGGTGGCACTTCGGTGCATTTATATGAGCCGTGGTGACAGAATTGTGCATAACCTCAATGTACTCACATACCTTGGGTTCTCAGTATTGTATCATGGGCTAATGAAATTATTAATATGAATTCATGATTGCTAAATTGATAAGCTTATGTGTAAAATGCATGGTTATGTAAGTTGCATTAATTAAATATATGATTTCATGGTACTTCATCTCATTATGGTATTATCATTTAATATTATTATTATTATACCTCACTAAGTTGATGACTTAGCGTGTGAGTGTTTCACACATAGGATCCGAGAAGCTAACTGAGCAAGGATAGACAGCAAAGATACCATCACTTTTGAAGATATCATATCAGAAGCAACTTAAACAGTAGGTTCTTTTGTTATGTAAATAAATGTTGGCATGTAATCAAAGGTTTAAGTTGTGTATGCTCTGATTATTTTGTGAACTTTGTATAAACTTATGTATAATATCGGATTTTCTTAATATATGTTCAAATGTTCTATTATTTTGTACAAGTATATTATTTTGAAAAGTCAATGTGACATCTCGGACTCGTATCTGGGTCGGGTACGGGTTGGGGTATTACATTTAATAGTATCATAGTTATGGTTTAGCTGATTCTAGGCATAAACTAGATTTCATTGTGTCTTTATATAAATACATGCCAACATTTAGTGAGAACTTCTGATCTGATATAGTAATGAGTATGTTGTCTCGCTAATAGAATGATATGTTTATTTAGTAGATGTCCGGACATAGTAGCTCCCGAAGTGAAGCGAGAGAGGATAGGCCAGCTGAAAGTAGTAATTCACCTGTCTTGGCCAGGCAAGGTGAAGGACAGGCATCTCAGGGAGTGCCTGTACAAGATCAGGATACATTCTTTAGGACGTTGGACGTTATTCTGACTCGTCTTCTACCTCATGTTCCATCAACCCAAAGAATGAATGTAGCAAAAGAGTTGAGAGGATTGCCGGGGAAGGCTCGGTTGCGACAGATATTTGGCTAAATGATTTGAAAATCATGCTGGATAGTCTCAACTGCTCTGAAGTGGAGAAGTTGTATGGAGTTGTTTTTTTGTTAAGAGGACAACAAGGATATAGTGGATGAATGTCACCACAAGGTTGGCGAATGATCAAGTGGCTTAGTCTCTATTTTTGGAAGAGTTTAGGCACAAGTATATTGGAGATCAATTTATCAGACAAATGAAGCATGAGTTTATGAATTTGAAGCAGATGAATCGCTCCGAATGTGAATATGAGTGTGAGTTTAATAAGTTGAGTCGGTTTGCTGCTGAACTCATTCCTACTAAAAAAGATGTTTGTGGAGGGCATGCGCCCTAGACTGAAGGAAATGCTCATAATATTGAATTTGTCCTTATTCCAAGAAGTGGTAAATCGTACAAAAGCTCTTGAGAGAGCTCATAATGAAAGATTTGGGGATCAAAGAGTTCATACATCCAAACAAACGGGTGCTTCTTCAAGCCCAACACCATCAAAAAGAGGAAGAGGTTTGGGATACCGACCTCAAGCTAGATCTGAATCAGTTGCATCTTCTACTAGAGGAGCAAGTCAGACGTGAGCTAGACAGACGCAGTCAGTGGGATATGGTGTTGGGAGATCCAATCAGGGCCAATCAAGACAGTGTCAACATTGTGGGAAGAATCATTTTGGGACATGTCGGATGGCCTCCGGGGCTTGTTTCCGTTGTGGAGATGCCGGACATTTTATCCGGGATTTTCTATTAATGGTTGGTGAGCCTGCACCATTTGATAGAATTATTTCTGCCTCGCAAAGAGAACAAGGAAGTGGTAGAGGGAGGAGCCAGTCTGAATCATCTGCACAACCTGAAGTCCACTCAACTGCACAAGTATATAATTTAAAGACAAGTGAAGACTGTGATTATTCCGAGATTATAGCAGGTACTTTCTAGCTGTTTGATAAATTGGTATTGGTATTGATTGATAAGGGTTCCAATTATTCCTATATTAGCAGTAAATTAGTAAAAGAATTGAGAATTCCATTAGAAACTACGAGTAATGAGGTGATAGTAACTAATCATTTAGGGCATAATGCTCGAGTGAATAAGGTTTGTAAGGGGTGTCCCATAAGGATTCAGGGAATTGAATTCCCTGCTAATCTGATGGAACTACCCTTTGATGAGTTTGAAGTAATTCTGGGGATGGATTGGATGTTTCATTATTATGGAAATATCGATTGTAGATTGAAAAAGGTAAACTTGAGAAGTTCAGAAGGAATAGAAGTGAAAGTGATCAGTGAAAAAATTAATCCTTTAGCAAATGTAATATCAAC